TTGAGGGGGGACTAAATATATATGAGCCTTCCTTTATTATTTTCTCTCTTTTGTTTTTCATTTATTTCCCTGATTGTGAAAATCGTGTTTTTTTTCCATTTTATGTCACTTAAGAATATTTTGTTTTTGTGTTTTATCGACGATGAGAAAAATTAAGATCGGTCAATGGCTGGGAGGGGACCCACCAATAGTCTTTTTGCAGCTACGCGACGATAGTGAGTGAATCTTTTACGGGTTATGCCCATTCTGAGCCCAACAACGGCCCAACATTAGGAGTCCAACTGTTTTTTTTTTCATTTCGTAGTCGTATTTTTTTGAAACATGCTTTTAAGAGTTTGTACATTAAATTGAAGACAATTTTTTTTTTTGAGAAAGTAAACTTTAAAGACAATTAATGAATATAAAAAGAAAAGATAATAAAAAATAAATTTTTCATTTTTGTATCATCTAAACAACTACAAATAATACATCCAATGGCAGCTTTATAAATTATTTTTACTCGGTGCAAAGTTAAAAAACTATCAAACAACACACTATAAAATAATATACGAAGATAGACATCACAAAAACTCCTTAAAAAATTACACTAATTTTGAGAATTTCATGGTGGGCAAGTTCCCTATCCAATTTCTGATTTTTCCATTCTTCAATTATATACAAATGCTTCGGAAAATCGGCAGATGTCTTGTATACAAAAACGTCACCGAAAGATAATTCTATCACTGAGAGACAAAGCGATTACTCAGCAGAACCGACACCTAACAACATTGATTAAGGGACCTCATAACATCGCTTCACACCAACAAACCGTTAATATATCAAAACACTAGTTGAAAACAGGTGCATTTGCTCCTCTACCGATGTCATTTGAACCAATATCAGACTTGACGATTTTAAGACATGATGAATTATCGTCACCCGGTGTAAATTTTGTCACAACCGCAACCACGAAAAAGAGAAATTACATAACGTAATTACCACCGTATAAAAGACAAAATCATTATCAAATTAGTCATCATCGGAGACCAAAGAAATCACGTCTGTAGCAAAAAAAAAGTCGCAAACAAAGAGTCACGCATTTTAAATGAAGAGTCATGCCTATTCAATCACCAAAGGAAACAAAAAGGAGTACGACCGACGTTGGAATCAACGTTGACCAGTGAAAGTTGCATAGCATGCAAGAATTTGAAACGTCGCGTTGAACAGTGAGAGAGACGAACTGATTGCCTGCTAGAGAGAGACACTTCTATTATCTTGGGTATTGGTACTTAATATGGATCAATGAGGGTATACATTTTTTATGTGCAGTAAAGGAAAAACTACATAGGTAATATTTTCACTAAACGGGTGGTAAAATATTTGTGGTTTTATGACAAACATGAATAAACATTACTATTCTCTCGAATTGGTATTTGGCTCCAGTGAATATACCCATGTTTAAAAACGCGGCCGCTTAAACGGCGGTCAGGTGTTCGGGAACCGCCGTGAGTTGAACATATTCGGCCAAGAAATCAGAAGTACTAAAAAGCAACTTTTTATGGATTTTAAGTTTAAAATCAGAAGTTAGATTGTATATCTGTCATGAGGGGTAAAAACCATGAAGAAAATAAGCAAAATCAATATTATAAAAGAGAAAAAATGAGAGGCGGCGTTACTAGGGTGAACTGTAGCAAAAAAGGAGGAAAACGAAGATAAATATGTAATTTTGTATTCATTAATAAAAAAGACGGAAAACAATAAAACACTCATAGTGGACCTCGGACCAGTGCATGAGAACATGAAAAAAAGCCGCGTTCCATTGGACCCTGATATACCCAATATTTTACCACTTTTACTATCTATTTTACTATGATTTTTACATATATTAATAAAGATTTTCGACCAAAAGATGTAGTTTTCTCGTATTTGTAGATTTTAAGGTCTTAACAGGTTTTATCATCTAAAGGATGTAAAATGAGAGCAAAAAGAGTGTTATCTATGATGCAGCTACTCATTCAAGTCAAAAGAACCAAGCCAAGTCGTTTTATCTTGAAGATAATGCATATTCTCAAACTGGACAGAACGCATACGCCAGAAGTTCGCTGATGAACGGATGATCAAATCAATTGGGAATTTAATGAAACTTGGTATGGAGATAGTCCTATGAGTTAGATTTCCAATGAAGTTAGAATTTCATCAATTGGAGCTGTACTTTAGAATATACACTGGAAACACTGAGGACATGTCAAACTGCCTTCGAAGTGAAGTAAGTGCACAAAGGAGCCAGGCACCGGGCCGCCCATGGGCCGATGATCCAGACCTTTAGCGACCTTCTAGAAGCGCCATAGAAGCCTCAAATACCAGTCACGTAACCCGACCGGTATTGCCTCAGTTTCGACCAAAAAGTCATTTTTGCCCGAAGAAGCCCTAGCCGACTTAAGCCGACTTAAACCCCTATATATACTTGTTTTTAGCCTCTCTAGGAACCTAAGTAGCCGGCCATAACAGCCTAAATCAAAACCTAAACATGTATTTCGGTTTTCTCTTATTCTTAATGCATATTTGATTCTAAAAGCCTTTAAGGATAGATTGACTTTGCCCTATTGCGAAGAGATGAGATCTGACTCCTTACGCTTTGTAGATAAACGATTTATCTTTATATTTATGTGCTTTACTCTTGTTGCTACGTGTTGCAAAACATGTTAGAGTACTAGCTTTGATTTGATTTCTATGCACCTTCTTAATTCTATGCTTTTACATACTTAATCGATTAGAGTTTCATTCTAGAATTG